ATATTTGTATATATATATTTGCATCACACATATCAAGCGGAACGGGACTGTTATTTATTGGCTGGGGAGCGCAGAAAACGGCGATCCGGTTTGATCGAAGGAAAAGCGATCTTAACGAAGCGGAACCCAGACGTTCTTTTTATTCTCGAGATGAATCAATCTGTTGCAGAGAGTTTATTTAATACTAGAAACTACGAAACAAAGCGAAATGACTTGTCAGTACATAAAAAATATACTTTTACATAATAATCTCACCATAAGTGCTATAAAACGTCCCGGGACAAAACTGTTCGATGGGGCGAGCTCATCTATTGCGCAGAAGCATGTTTTGCTCATCGGAAACCGTTTGTGTGCAGCCACTACTGCCAACTTACATATATCATATCGTGGGGCATTTCTTAGTACCAACACGATCGATTATCTACGACACTTCGATTAATCTCTGATTCGTTTGAAAAATTAAGTGCAACTCGAAACGGGCTCGCAAGCAAGCACTCCATCGAGCTCTCGTTTCGAGGCGGCGCGAAATTTTTCAAGCGTCCCCACGATGCTCGAAGGCAAGTAGGCCAACAACTGCGCGTGCAACCGCAAATCTCGAGCCGCTTTTGTCTCGCCTGTGCCTTCTCGCGAGTCCTCGCTATTTCTGGACACCGGCCGAGGTACTTTTTGTTTACTCCGGTTGCTTTTTACGACGAGACACAGCAGCCCCCTCGGCGTGGTTGCATTCGCGCCCCGGTGAAACGCGCAGAAGCGGGCCACGTGCCCCCCTCCTCGCTGGCCCCCGAAAAATCGGGCCAATTCCAGGGCTGATGTGTCTCACGCTTTTAGAGTCCTTTGTGCGTATACGTATACGTATATTCGTTCGACTAACCGTTGATTCGATACCGAGTTGGTGTTGTTCGAAATGAAACCGTGTCCTTGCTACCGCAAATACCAAAAGGAAAATCTGCTTGATTATCGACAGGACATGGAGAATTTTGAAGCAGATTAATTTCAACCATCTCTTCCTTTACCTGTACGTTCTATGTTAATTTTTCTTCTAGGCCCCCATCCTCGATCAGCTACTTGTTCCGTCTCAACGATCTCAGAACAGTTCTTGCCGTGATTATTTTCGATTCGATGCGTCGATGGTGTTACGCAAACGATATCCCGGGAGCAACGGGTCCCAATCTCTTTCGTGTTGTAAGATGTAGTATACAACCGATGTAACGACACGCGGGTACCGTTATTTGGTCCAACAGTGTCAACCGATTCGTCTCTTTAACGCCGTGGAAATGTGGTACATTAAACGGTACCGTTCGAGCCCCGGTGGCCATTCGACGAGGCGGCTGCAGCTGCCGCCGCGACGCGTTGCCGGTTGCTCCACTCTCGATCATATTTTCCGAACGCGGTTCACAATGATACCTATACTAAGCAGCCAACCACCGTTTCCTAGACTACCAGTGAACGAAAGAACAACGTGTACAATTTCTTCTCTTAACTTCGTGTAGAAATCGAGGTAAATTGGTATGTAAGCAAAATGTCTATCGGTCAATCGGTCGACAATAACGGAGATTTTAACGTCAGAGGTATTCGCGAACACGGGACGCTATCTTTACGCGCCCCGTATGGTAAAATCTGCGTGTATTCCACGGAGGAATAATCACGTTCTGTCATAAATCGTTCGGTAGAATTTTCCGCGGGTCAATTTCGAGCCGAAGTGTGCCGCGCCGCGGAATCGGAACGGTTTGATACATGCCTATTTATAGGTACGGAAGATTCATTACCCGCGAGGTCCCGTTTCGCGTCGTTTCAAGCGTTGTACAAGTCCTCGTGGCGCGCGATATTTTCTTGCGTTTCGATGCCTGGCCACTGTGGCGGTAATGAGAAAATTGCTGTTCGCCTCGCCGCTTCATCGAACCGGTTGAGTTAGTCGGTGATCGGATGCACGGCTATCGGTACCGAATGAAACACGGTATCTTTTCGACCGACTTCGAAAAGGAGGAGTTTTACAATTCGATGTATACATATGTATATGTATCTTTTTCTTTTCGTTCATTATAAATTATCACTCGCAATAGTCCAAAGTATTTATACCTTTGATTCTTTTTTTTACGGTTACCGCCCAAATATCGATGATGAAAACGATCTTATGTTGGCCATTGGGCTCACTACATAGTACATAATATTATATGAAAAATGTGGACCAATTACGAACTATGCTGAAAAATAGAAAATAATTTCTATCGAACAGTTAAGTAAAACTTACTTTCTCTTACTAAATATCATATTAAATTCATCGCATTTAGTTAGAGAAAATACATTTTCTTAACCGTTGTTGCATGTCTGTCTAAATTCTAAATAATATAATTAGTCGGTTCATATTTTTTGAAGAAAAAAAATTTGTTTATCGACTTCAATCACCGTGTATACGTGTGTCACGAGACGTTACGTACGACGCACACACAGGCGTTGACACGATGACGAAAACAGGATGACGAACACAAAATGGACAGGGGGGATATAGCTTCGCGAGTGGGTGTGCTTGCGGGTGTCGGTTCGGCTGGACTCGGTGGTCTCCGCCGCGCTTATGTAACAGTCTCGCGTTCCATACACGTGCTCGCCACCACGTGGCCGTCGGTCACGTTACGCCGCGCCGGTCCCTATACATATATGTAACACTGAAAATGGAATTTATTCGGTGTATGTATGTATGTATACCTATGTACGTAGCCGTGTAACCTCGTAACGACAAAACCTGCCTGGCCATGACGCAGCGTCCCGGAGGCCACGATGACTGACACGTGAACGATCTCTTTTGGATCATTCCATTGACGGAGAACGACTTTTTTTTAACCACTCCCCTCCCCCCTCCCCCTTCCCGTCGCTCGTATATTCGTGAATCTCGTTGCTACTCACGACCGCCGTTTTCAGTTCACCTCGATCCATCGATCAACCAGATTTCAGAGTGTGGCCGTTGAGAATCCGACGAAGGATCCGTCTAGGATTTTAATAACGTATTCCTTCGTCGGTTAATTGATGAAAAAACGAGGTTCTTCTGTAATTAGCGAGGTGACTAGAACAGCTTCTGTTTATACGCTGTGTGTTGTTTGTATTAGTAACGTCACGTTTGTTTTATTGCCGGCGAACGAATCCCTCGGTTTGGCCGAGAATTACATTTCGAACCGGATCTATTCGTACGAAAGAAAAAAAGAAGAGAAGGACAGCTTGAAATGTTGATGTTGGACACACGAAGAAACAATGAATCGTTTAGATGATTGTGGGATGCTCCGAAAAGAATGTAGTCGTAAAATCGTGAAGAAAAAATGATCGTAAAACAGACCCGTTTATGGTCTGGTGGGATATTATATAATATTCCGAGATCATAGACGTAAGCTGTGACGAAAGTTTATCGAAAGTAGGGGATGGAGGGATGGCGGGGAGTGGGGATGAACAGAGGGGAGACAGAGAAAAAAAATGTAACCGCGGCGTGATCCGGCGAGCGAGTACGGGACAAAGAATGATATATCACGGTATCGTAACTAAGACGCTAATTATATGCTGGAGGCATTGCCATTATCTAACCATAACTACTCCCACCTAGATTCCGAACAATGTGACTGGACGCACGCGGCGGAGACCTTTAACAGAGTTATCTTGCCCAACGCAGCTGCTCGAGCGTGTGTTGTAACCCGGTGCAACGAGCTAAATTGTCGTTAACGGTAAATTACAACAGGCGAATCATTCAGCCTGTGTGTGTGTGTGTGTGTGTGTGTGTATGTCTGTGAATGTACGCGTGTGTGCGTGCGTGTTCAGATCTAGAATTAATTCGCTGTCCCCGATGTGGTATCACGGACTCTGATGGCACAGAGAACACGAGAGCTCGAGAGCCGTGAATGTGACATTTTACCGATGGATCGTCACGAGCACACCTGGAGAGAATTCTTCGGTTTTGTTGGAAACTGTTGTAAAACGTCTTGGTCGGTATTCGAGAATGGAATAATGAACGATGTTAGTTAGAAACGGCCGATCGGTGGATCGTGATCCATTGTATTATTCCGTTTAATTTTCGATTCACTTCTTCGATTCGTTTCTCCGGTATACTTATGGCAATTTTTTTTGCTTTTTAGCCGTCTATACGGGTTAATCTTATCTGTAATATTGTATATATCGTCATATTTCGTAGAAATGGCAAAATTTCCACGGGAATAAAAACCGTATTGGTGTAGCGTGTCAGCATTGAGACATTTTCTTTTCGTACCTGAGATACGATCGATAAAAACAGGCCGAACGGATTCAGTAGCCGCACGATCGATTTTCCTCGTCGTTGAATCAACGAGCACGGATGAATTCCAAAGCGACGAGAGCCATATTATGTCACAACTTCTGGTTGCAGCGGCAAGGTAGAAGCAGCCAGGCAGGCCGTGAACCTAAGCGCGGCCAGCGCGCGTGACTACTCTACCACGGGCTCTTTCTCTCTCGAAATGCCTAACGTACAATCTCGAAGTAACATTTAAATCTGCATCTTATCGAGAAGTTTATTGGTGTACGTTCGCACTAAAAAAATATTTTCGCTTCGAATCAGAGTCGAGCATCATTGTACCTACATGAATTCTGTGATTTCGTGCTAATCAACATTTTTTCTTGCTATCACCGAATCGAGTTAAGCTTGAGTCGAAGGTAATTTTTGGGTGGAAGACTCTCTAGCTCGGTGGAATACTCGACACGAAACAGATCGTGGGTCCGTTTAATCACCGCTGGGGGCGCCAGACACTATTATTTATCGTCCTCATTCTGTACACGCTCGAACCGGAGGGTAGGCCAGCTCTTAATTGGATTTAAGGGTCGAAGATTTTATGGTCCGCGTGGCGAGCCGGGGTCAAGCGATTTTCATGCTTTCTCGTTACATTTCGTCCGTTCTGAACGGTGGTCTGATCGGATCGATGACTCGCCCGATGTCGCGAAAGAGATTAATCCTGCGGTCGGTACGCGTGTCGCTTGATTTTTAATGAATTGTCTACTCGGCTGTTACGAAACTTTATTGTTGAAATAACTTACAAATCTTTCTTATCTAATAAACGTAGACGCACTCCCGGTGCTCTGGCTTAAAGCTATTCCTATTGCTACAGTTCGCAGTATAAAAAGTATAACGTAATTATTATAAACAGTAGATGTAGTCGCCGTTATTAAAATTCAATAACCATATTTTCGAGAAAATTTTGAAGCCTATACGATATTTTAGCGATGTTTATCTTCATTCCTCAATGTTCCCGCCATTTTGGAAGAAGAAGAGGGTTGAAAGATATTTTACATTTAAGCTGCGTTAACAGCTTGTTAAAACGAAACGGTGTGGGTAACATATTGGACTAGTGAATAACAGTAAAATACATGTACAATCAACGTATAAATAACGCGTAACAATAGAAACGAGAAATAATTAATTCGGTACACGATCTCGATATAATTCGCTGCGCACGATGGAGAAGTAGTAACTAATGATACGAACGATGGTGGGAGGACGGTGGATTTAATTAATTTCGCACCTTACGACGCGGTTTGCTGGCCACGCAACCGTAACAATCGTCGTCATCGCTGCTGTACGAGCAACCGCAGTCCGAGCAACCGCACGACGAGGAAGATCGTTCTGTAGAAAAACAATAAGATTATAAATCATTTTTACGAAGTGTTTCATAGTGATCTACTAAACCGTTGGATGTTCATCCAGATATGTACACTCACGATCAAACTCCAGCTTCCGCTAGGAGAAAAAGGGCCTCCTACCATTTTGGTCCCGAGAGACACATGAAAATGCCAAATTAACATTCGGTTGAAAATTTATTTCGGTACTTGAAATAAATTTACGGCCCTTCCCTCGCGACGATTCTTCCCCTAATGGAAGCCGAGTTTGCTTGTCAGTGTACAGTGGAATATGTAATCCAAAATATCTGTTTTACCTACGTTCCGGCTTCGTGCCACAGTGCCACGTGAAAATGACTCGAATCGATATAACAGTAGAAAGGACTCACTCGTTCGACGAACCGTCTTCTTTTTCGAGGTTTTAGCGCTGCAAGGTGCTCTGGCGGATCTCGACGTTTTCGACGATCGTGCACCGCCACGGCCTTTCGATTTTCCTTTACCCCGTTTCCGTTGCGGTTCGCTGTCGCAGTCGTAACATTCGCAATCGGAGCAGTCGGAGCTGTCCGAGGACGTGAAGGACGTGTCCGAACTGTAGCAGGAGGACGAGCTCTCTGTGGTGCTGTCCGATTGGTAGCAGTTACCCTTGCCGCAAGAATTCGACTTCCTGGTCGATTTCTTGGCGGAAGAAGGCTTTCTACAACTGTGAAATAATATTATACACGATAGTTCGAAGTTGTTAGATCGAAATGTTCGTGCAGAGTACAAGTAGAGATAAAACAAGTAGTATGTATTCGAGGACAATCTGTATTCCGAATGTTTGATTTTAATTACAGAAACAGGTATTATATCTACTTGTGTAAACTTGTAACCGTTGCCTCTAACGCGAACTGTTGACCATTTCGCTGAGAAGGACGAGCAAACATAATGGCGAGAACGGTTAGACGTTTATATTCGATATTTACAGTAGCAATTTGAATCATTTTGCGACGAAGAATACAAACAAAATTGTTCAATTCGTATAGGTACATTACGAATAGTTAATCCTTTTAACGGTGGCTACCGTGTCCAAATATTCCTTACCTCATTCTGCCAATGTTCAGAGACTAACGGTTGATGTTCCTCGTTTGATCGCTTCCTCGATTCGAAACGTCGATCTAGTTATTTCGATCGTTGCATCGATCAAATATTTGCCGATTTGCCGAATATTCTGTTCCAGTACAAACGAATTCCACCGAAACGATCCACGTGTCTCGCGATTGTATACCGAAATGTTCCCGGCGATGTACACTTTTAGTTTTTATACGCACAGTATTCGTATGCCCCTGATTTCACCTATCGTCAACCGTCTCTGCCTTTTGTGTATACATTCAAACTGTATCAATCGTGTGTTCTCCTAGAAACACTTTCACGAAGAAATCGGAACTACATAGAGTGGCGTGCAAAATTTTCCAAAGAAGTTTAGAAACTTTTTCACACCATTGTATATCCTTAGATTTAAACAGAAGCTTCCATTAAAGCAGTTTCCTTGTCGATGATCGCATTGTTTTTTCACGATTGATTTCGAGCATCTTATTATCGATCGATAAACGTTTACGAACATTCGTTAAGGTTACCACGACTCTACAACTAAACAGTTCGTTATAAGGAAATACAGCCTGTCGATAAATGGATTTCTTATTTTCAAGATATTCAGGATCGCACAGGCAGATATTCCATCGTGAATGCTTCGTTTCGATAAAAATTCTGAAACGTTGCTGAATAGGTACTAATCGAACAGTTAATTGTTCATAATGTCGCGAACAAAAGTCGTGAAACCGAGTTGCCAGGAGGGCATTATGCAAGCCCGAACATTGACGCAATTCAGAACCGATCGCGCGGCGCAGAACCGATCCCTGGGAAATCTTGAATTACACGTTTTATTATGTATCGATCCAACACGAGGCAATTGAAAGGGCGACCTGCGGCTGTTACATTAAACTCTCTGTCTCTCTCCCTCTCTCTCTCTCTCTCTCTCTCTCTCTCTCTCTCTCTCTCTCTCTCTACCCCCTCTGCGTTTACGATTATCGAACGCCTCGGATCGACCTTGCTCGCCCGCGAAATTCCGTTTCAAATTTTCTTGGCACTTTCACGATCTGAAATATTCGAGAAAAATCAGCCGAACCCGTCGAATCTCATTCAATAGGTGGAATTTATAGTTATCCCTCTATGACAATCGTAAAATTCAGAGCAATCGGTGGTGTTGATTCTTTATATAGAAATTGGGATGAAAGAAAAGTTCGATTGTATATGTTTAGTGCACACCTGTAGAGTATATCTAAATAAATCGAGGTTCAATGAGACGGAAAGAGCGAAATCAACGGGCACGTTTACCTCCCCATCCCGTGTTGGAATCACGAAGAGGCCCCACTTATCGTCGAGGGATGGCAAGGAGTCACGGGGTCCCATTAGCGGAGAGGACATCGAGCGGGCTTATGCAACTGGCTTCTAGACACTCGAATCTTCTCTTCTCTCGCCCCATGCCGCCATTGCTCCGGAATGTCCATTATAATACACAAGCGACCGGGCGCGAGCCCTTCCATTCATGCGTTCAGATCTGTCCTGTCATCCGCAGACGCGATCGCTTTGTTTTGCGTTTTGACGCCAGCTTCGCGTGACAGATTGAAGATCGATGCGACAATAGGCCGTACATCGGATATTTCCATTGTTCCGTTAATCTGTCCCGGTAATTCCATTCTGCATACCATTGTCCATCGACGATTACGCGAATGCGTTGCCAACCACGGCTCTTTGGATACGACCGTTTTCATCGGAGATGCGCTGGATTACCATGAAGTTATCGCGAAAAATAAGATCCTCGACTTTCTGTAGCGTATATATCTACCAATACGTAAATGTATCGTATGATTCTTTCTCGTAGAAATCGAATGATTTTTCGTAAACTCGTTTACACTGCCTTGGATTCGCTAATAATCTTTTGAATAAATTTATTCGAACTTTTAAAAGTGAACGCGATGAACGGTGATCACTGTAGGACGTTGCTAAGATTTCTCGGATCGTATTTGTTTCTCGTCGACAAATTGCTGCTTTGTACACAGAGAAGAGAGTTAGTTTAGGGCGCGTATCCCCTAATCGCTGCTCGGGGGAGAAATGGAAGAAAAGAGAGGAGGAGTTCTCTCTCTCTTTCTCTTCGCTCCCCTACGGTTCTCCTGTTTTCTTACGTCATCCTCATCGCTGAGTCACTCGCCTCTCCGCAGGGTCCCATAAAGCTCTACCACCCTCGGTCATACACCTTGAGAAGGCCGATTCGATTCACCCCTCGACAATGAGGGGAAAAGGAATAGCGGCACGATTGCCTGGGCAACCGTTCCGTGGATTATCGGATTTTACACCTCGTCGCGATGTTTCTGTAAATCGTTTTTACCTTTTGCAACGTTTCAAATCAACGACCATTAGCATTAATTTCGAATAGAAACGTGCAATGTTATAATATACGAGCGCAGTTGTGAATTACTTATACATATACTAGAGGTTCACGAATTTCTTTTCAATTTCAGATGAAAGATCGTCGGAAACGGAAGAAATTCGATCGTGGAGGGAATCAACGGGTTAACGTTAAGCGTTATACGTACCCTATGTGGATTCGAACATTGAAAGAGCGATCATCGGCCGAAGAAAAACGCGCGGTCGGACGCCGCGTGAAAAATTCTACGCTCGAAAAGAAGCGATCTAGTCAAGAAAGAACGAAAGGAACGAGGAGGACGATGATGGAAGGGATCGAGGAACGGTACGATAGAGGGCCCTAGAGCTGGAGAAGAGGATCGAGACCGGATGCGCTGAGCGTCTCTCCGACGAGATAAAGATAGCTCGCGGGGCGTTCTTGTTCCGTTCCCCGGCTCATAAACGTCATCGTTCTATTACCCGAGTTCCACGTAAGCGCATAGAAAGTCCTTTGATGCTCCGATGGGATCTCTCAAGGGATTCTCTTCAAGATGGAATCCACCGCGGGATCCATCAAAGTTACGTTGAAAAATCGACCAACGTTGATCCAGACGAAGATAGTCAATGATGTTTTCCAAATTCCTTCAGGTACCACTGAATTATAATCCGTCTAATGTTTCGATGTCATTTAAAGAAGTTTATCGTACTGTCCCGATCGGCGAAGAAAGGTTCCAGATATCGTCACTCCGAATGATAAACTAGGCGCCTATTGTAGTAGACCGATGCACTCAGATTGACGATTAACGAAGGAGAATTAAATTCAGGAGATTGAATAAAAAAAGTATCTTCTATTCTCGGACCGAAACCGGTTGCTCGGGTGCTTGGCAGCGCAGAGGGTTAAGAATCTTTCCGCGTGAAGAATGTCTATTCATTTTACTGGATAATAATCGGTCGTCCAGAAACCGGTGCATAGGAGTCATCGGGTGATTTCCCGGCAGCAATTCGATGTCAGAATGTGTGTGTCCCTCCCCTTCCATCGACTTGTGTAATCGTAAATGAATAAGCGTCTAGGTGCAGCCGGGGTATTGCGCCAGGCGGGACACGCTCGGACCTTTCGATCAACGACACGTGCAGCTCGCTCGACAATAACCACGGGGCCCGGCGCATTGGTGCCATAACCGGCAGGGGGTTGGTGGTGTCATAACCCTTGCCGATCGTTGCACAAGCTCGATCGTATCAGCGTCTGTTTTATCCCGAAGTTAGGCTGCGATTAACCGGGGACAAATTCACGGATCGGTTCACATCGGCACACGCGAACCCCGATCAATACCACCGCCGGTGTTTCTATCGTATCGTGTTCCCCATAATGTTGAAGAAACCGTGAAGAATTTTACAAGTATGTATCTTTATGTCTCGACATTGTCAAGTATGTAATAATTAGACTGCGGATGTTCATGCATTTATAGCGTCTCTTAACGAACGGAAAATCCAATGCAATAAATGGTTTAATAAAGTTCAATACTATTTCTGTATAATTATTACTAATGTAGTTAAATCGTCTGATACACGATTCAAAAAATTTGGATTCATTTGAATTTTCGATTACTGTACTACCTAAAACTGAGAATCTGTATAAACGTTCGCAGTCTAGTGATAATGTAATATTTATTGGTAGAGTCTTCGGAGAAAGTCGAGAAATGAAATCCATTTCTCAAGAATTCGATTCATATTTCGTGACATCGAACGGACTGTTGTACGTACGCGATCGGTAACACGTTCCCGTTGCCCGAAACGAAATTCATGCTTGCTCCATCTGTCGACCGGCTCGTGAATTCCATCGAACCACAGGGATTTCGCTCCGATCAAAGACCTCGGCCATAGACGAGATATAAGAATAGACCTAACATCTTATGGACTTGGTGTCCCACGAAAATCACGCTGATTCGAGCGCACTCTACATAAAAGTTTCCGACTTTAGGAACTACGTTGGCATGAAATGTTATGCAAAAAATTCGTAAAAATTTGTAGAACAGTAGGAATTCTTTGATCGACGTTTCATTGATATTGTCCTTGACAATGATTGTTACAGTTTTAAGAACAGTTTTGTTTTACTCAATTCGTGTAAAATTATTAAACAATAAGTTTAATATTATAATGTTGATAACAATCACATCGTTGGTGGGAAATGTTCAACATTGTATCATCCCTTTTACAATGCGAATTGTTAATAATTATAACAGATAGAAATCGAGATATACAGAAACTTGCAAGATATGGATCGTTTTATGAACTTTCACGTGGAATAAATTTTATTTTATTTTATTGTAAATTATTTGATTGCTATCAATATTCTATTGTCGAAAATATTTAATGTATTGTTATTTAATTTCATACAAATTGAAGTAAGAGAAAAATTCTATTCTATAAACTGGGCCAAATTTCCGGAAACTGATCGATTAACATACGCCAATTACCCGCTGTCTCATGGTTGTATCAGGTATATAGATCCTTTAAGGAGTTTGTTAAGTGGTACATTCATCTTTTAAACTGGATTACTGCACATTAGAGATGGCGTGAACTGCTACTTGTGAATCACTCGTGATTCGATCACGTTCGTTCCCAATCACGATGATTTTTCACAGTGATTCGTGATTTCCCGTGATCGTTTCTTATTGGTGGAGAAACCTAACAGTTCTTTACACGCGATACATAATTTGTATATTTCACATTAACGACATCAAAACAAAAATTAGGGTTATATCGTATAAAGTGAA